CCCTTTGAGTCAATGCTTGGCCCTTCTGTGGAAATCTTAACAAACTGGATGTGTTCAAAAAGGGAAGGAGGATTTGTTTGATGTTAAGTTGTTACTGGCTTTGGTCTTTTCTTTAACAGAACTGGTACCTCCTAAGATTTAGATATAGACTTATAAAATATAAAAATAAAGAATAAAATAAATCCTCAATGCCTGACAATATCGGACCTCAAGGGAATTTTAGATCCAGTGCCTCCTACTCATGTTCTAGAGAGCATGGTCCAGGGATGGGACTTGGCTATTGCGACAAACAGCAGACAGGTCTGCAGGGCTCCTGCCTCTGGAGATGCTGGCAGAGTGGGACAATGGTGTGACAGGGCCAAGACAAAGTTGTCCTGGGGCAGGAACGAGGGACTTGTGTAGAGATGTCCAAGAGATCAGCAATAGGACTTGGATTTGGAGGAGAAAGTTGTAGAGTGACTTCTGGTTTTCTGGTTGAGTGACCAGGTTTCATACAAGGTGATATAGGAAGCACAAAAGAAAAAATGTCACTTTGGAGATGTTCATTTAGAAATACCTGTTGAAACTCGGATAATTGAGCACCTAAGGCATGTTATTTATTTGTAACAAGACTAAGATGAGGATTTGAGTTTCTTCCTTCCCGTTCTAAGATTTATTATACTCTACCAGTTTGCCTCCCCCAGAACAATTTTTATAGTGTTATTTCCTCACTTTTTTTAAAAAAAATCCTAATCTAGGAAAAAATTTATATCTGCATAAAGAGATTTATCTTTTTATTCTACTTATTACCAAGATTTTATAATAGTTTTTTTCATATTTCCCCATTTCTTTGAATGTTATTTTATACTGATGTTACTAGGAATTATCAGTGCATCCTTACCAATCATGACTTTCTAAATATTTCATGGAGAGTTTTTAAAAGATTTTTGGTTTTTTGTAAAATAGTTTGTTTACAGCCTCTGCTATTGAGGAACTGGGAAAAAACAGCCTGAGGGGAGATAAAGTTGTTTCTGCAAGTATTGTTTCCTATTAGTCCCATTTTCGTGGGCAGGAAACTGAAGCCAGAAAGTTAAGTAACTGGAGGCCACACAGCTGAGCCCTGGGCATCTTCTGCCCATAGGATATTAGCCCTTGAGAGAGAAGAGGTTAAGATCTAAATGGTGAAGTGGTTAGATTATGTTCAAGAAAATGTCTCCTGGTAGGGAGAGAGAATATCCTTGGGTAGACTTTAAAAACTTCTATACCTTTAATTCTCACAAATAGTTCTACCAAATAAACTGAATCTCATCATGGAAAAAAAACTCTTTTTTCAAAGACAAAGGGGAAAAAAAAAAGAACCAGAAAATACCTCCCAGAAATTTATGAAACATGACATACTTCCCACTAGAATTTGAGTTATTTCAAGAGTGTGGGACAACAAAAAGTATTTGTTAGTTTTACCTAATGCACTTTGGAAAGGGCAACAGATAAAAATGCAAATATGGAATTCACCCAACCAAATGAGGCACAGATGTAGACATTTCTAAGAAGCAGACAGACAAATAGTAATTAAGTTGTCGAGTTACCTTTCTGGACATGACATCCTTTGAATAAGGTCGGCTTTATAAGTAGATATGAAGGATTCCAAGAAGCACCAGGGAGGCCCTTCATAGCTTTATTTCTATGGACTGTGAACATTTTAAAGCTTCACTATTAAGATGTAACTACCTCTGTGGTGATGAGCTTTATCACTTTAACAGATATCAGAATGATGGGACCCCGTATAGGACTGCAAGGACATGATATTCATAGAAGTGAGAAGACAGACTCGGGACCTAGCCTGCCTCTTATCAGGATATCCCTGTACTTGATGTAGAACAAAAAAATTGTCCCTTTTTTCATATTATTGGGTCATTGAAAGTAATAGCAGAGGGCTATCTAAGGAGGAAAATAAATGACATATCCAACCATTTGAAAATTTTAAGAATTCTTCCAATGTTGTATGTTGGTGGTGGTGGTTATTATTGAGCAAGGAGAGACAAAACCAGTAACTTGGCGTGGTTTGATTCAAATAGGTCAAAGATGTTTTGATATTTAGAAGTGCTACAGGGGCTGCACTGAGACACTTATAGGATATTTTCTATTTTGCTCACAATATAACCTATAAATAATAAACTGTTCAAAGCAAAGAAAAGGGAACCTGGCTTACGTGGTTGAGTTGACACTCAGAGTTTGGCCAGATGATCATCAGCCCTGTGTGGTTTGATCTGCATATTCATAATATTTTAGATGCAAATATAGAAGAATTGAATTATGGAGTTTGCAAAGAGACCTCAGAAATTACCTACTCCAGTGGTTTTCAAACTTGATTTTAGCAGCAAACTTTTTTCTTTAAAAATGAAATCTTAGGTGGAACCCTAATTCTTAGAACAGACAAGTAGGTTCATCGGGCCCTTTAAATCTTGATAATCTTGATTGTTTGGGGGAAAAGTTCCTCATTGCCTGCAGCATTCCTTAAACTCCTCAGACAGCACAGTTTGAAAACCACTGATCTAGTACAAACCTTTCATTTTACAGATGAGCAAACTGAGGTCGAGAGAGGTTAAGTGACTTGGCCAGGGTCACACAGCTAGCCGTGGAAGAGCCAGGACTAGATCTCAGGTCTCTTGACTCCCAGTCCAGTGCTCTTTCCACTACACCACACTGCCAGTAAGGTAGGTGCTGTGCTAGCATTATGTTCATAGCTACTAATAGTCTTCGGTATTTTCCAACTAATTTACACTAGTAACAGGCATTGAATGTTTATGTATTATTCAGAAATGTATAGGCTATGAGAATACAGATTAGAATGAGAAAGACTCCTAGAAGATAAATCAATACCTACAATGTTTCGTTTTTAAAAATTATTTTAAAGCAATGCATTTAGGTAATGTCTGAGCTATACTGGATATTTTAGTCTGATAGCAACAATCAATATGTAGGGAGTCAGTATGTTTTAGTGAAGACACATAGTTTGATGGGAACGAAATTGAGACTTCTGGCCACCACTCCCACAGGGGCCATACTCTGCTGTCATTTCCAATGTGACCAGTTGCGTGTACCAGAACTGTACATTCTTCTTAGCATGCATTTTCGTGTTAAACCCTGAAGACTTCCCCTCAGTTCTTTCTATGCCTTTATCCTTCTCAACCTGGTGTGTGTAAGTTGCCGTTGGGGCTCCACCCAAAAGGGACATAAAGGATGGTTCATAGTAAAATCCTGTTGACTGGATAACCTCTGTTGTTGATTCAGTTTCCACTCAGGTCCCTCCAGTATTATCAAAGACTGTCACTAAATGCTAAGAAAGTAGAAAAAGTGTCTTACACCCTCTGTGCTATTGTTTTACCACCCTACATAAAAAAAAAGGCATATGGAAATCAATGGCCACTGTAAATTGGTAGAATTCTTTTTTTTTTTTTCTTTTATCTTTTTTTTGTAGCCATTTTAGATGATTAAGAACTCCAGGCAACTTTCTAGAAGTTATCATGTAGCAGTATTAGAGAGCTTTGAATATTCAGTTATTGTACCTTGATGAGAGAGAAGTTAACCCAAACATATTTCCAGAGTAAATTGGTAGAATTCTTATGAGAAAATTTCCCTGGGAAAATAGATGTCACCACTAGTCTAAGGATAAAATTCTGGTCTTGTGAGAAGGGCCTGCTGCCAAATAAAAAGTTAGTTTGGGAGCTGTTGACTCCAAAGTTGAATGTTTTGTTCCTATCTTATTAAATCTAGTGGGTTCAATAGAGCCAGAAAAGATTTCAGCCAGGAAAAGTTTCTTTAGACCCACTTTTGTTTGAGAATCGAGGAACCATGATTAGTTATCAGGTCTCATTTATAGAATGCATCCCTTCGGAAAGCCAAGTTCAAAGTTCTGCGCATCACACGATGACGTGCAGTCTGGGTGTGCCTGTCCTGCCTGTACCTGATAACCTTCGACAGGATGCACAAGCTCTCTGGGCGTGTGTTTCCTCAACTTTGAGCGGGTTGACCTAGATCTTCCTTCTAGTCCCAGCTAGGTCTGTATAACTGCTGATTGTCTCGGTGACTCAGAATCATGCCAGGGTCCCACGCACTGCATTGCTCACTGTATTAGCTCAGTTTGATCCTTGCTTTCCAGTAGAACTGTCTATGACGATGGGCAGGTTCTATAGCTGTGCAGTCTGAGAGACTGTGGCCACTAGCCTCAGGTGGCTATGAAGCACCTGAAAGGTGGCTTCTGCTATTAATGAACTGAATTTTAGGCTTTATTTAATTTTAACTAACTTATGTTTTAATTTAAACAGCCACGTGGGGCTACTGTATTGGACCACAAAGTTTTATTAGATGATCTGACATAAAAGTCAGATACTAGAGGGAATCTGTGTACCTAAAGTATTCATCAAGAGAGTGGTGACGTTTTACCCTGATGAATCTTCACTAGATACAGTCTGTCTTAGGGTAGCTTATTAGAATCAAGTACTCTTTTGAATGAAAATGTTATCTACAAGAGACTGAATTTCCTTCTATTTGTGATTTAACTCCTTGAGCTTCAGCCAAAAAGATGTTTCCTAATTTGATGAGAAGCAAAGCATTTTCTCCTATGTGCAGTCTTTTTTTTTTCCCCCAAAGTAATTATAATTTTAAGATGTAGGTATTTTCTTTTTTAAAAAATTTCAGAATATTAGGGGGGTACAAATGTTTTGGTTACCTAAATTGCTTTTGTACCGTTTAAGTCAAAGTTATAAGTGAGACCATCCCCCAGATAGTGCAGTGTACCTGTTAGGTGTGAATTTACTGTGCACAGTCTTATGGTCATTTTGGTCTCAGCGTGGGTTTCAGTGAATTCCTGTATGTTTTTCTGGGAAGCTGAGTTTAGAATGTTTCTGGCCAATAAAGGAATATTCTGTTTATATTATAGGCTCAAATATGAGTGACTGAACGTTGCTGGTTTCTGAGTACTTGATGAAACAAACTCCTCTTTTTTTTCCCCCCTTCTTCAGAACCAAAGAAAATGGCTTTGACAGAGAGCCTTTGCACTCAGAACATCCAAGCAAGCGACCATGCACTATTAGCCCAGGCCAGCGGTACAGTCCAAATAACGGCTTATCCTACCAGCCCAATGGCCTGCCTCACCCCACCCCACCTCCACCTCAGCATTACCGTTTGGATGATATGGCCATTGCCCACCACTACAGGGACTCCTATCGACACCCCAGCCACAGGGACCTCAGGGACAGAAACAGACCTATGGGTAAGACTGAAGGATCTGTTCACTTCTGATGGGATTGTATGCTTGAAGACTTGTGTCATTACTTCTCAGCTGAACTTGAGGCTTGAACTCTGTGATAGGGATAAAAATTTCCTTTCTTTATATCGTCTCCTTTATGAGAAAACTTGATTGGTATTAATATGTGCTTCAAGAGCTGTGTACTCTCTTTTTCTTAATCGCTTGTATCCTTTAAGACAGCAAGTTAACTTTTTTTGGGGGGGGGAGCTTCTGAGTTAATACAAAATCCTCAATTGTGGGAACAAATGCAAAATGAATTTTTACCTTGAATTTTTTTTTTAAACACGTGAGACTTCATATGCAGTCTGCCTGCCACAAATAGCTTTAAAAATCCATCTTTTTCGTTCACTATATCTTTTATTTCACATAGTCCCAAAGTTCATTTTGATGTTTTTCAGCCTCCTTGATATTCTATATTTGCAAAATATGATATGGCTTTCTAACTGTGGCTTAACTTGACAGATGTTCCATGGAAGAATGATTTGGTACCTTTATTTTCTTGAAAATGCCAGTGATTAAAGTTAGTATTGACAAATTTGGGTCAAATATCAAAATACTAAACAGGTGAATTTGGGCAAATATGTGTTCTATTTGCCTGTGTTCATTCCTTCTTTGCTTAAAACTATTTATCGGAAGTAAAGCATTTAGTAGGAGATACTGCCTTCTAAAGAACAAGTATCTGCTATGAAAAATGAGAGGGCAGATGAAGGAGGTAAGTTGTGATGCATGATCAGTGGTTGAGGTGATGGTATGAGAGGATTAGTAGGTACACTGTTGCCAGGGGACCTGCATTTCCTAATTTTTGGTGGCAGCAAACAGAGAGCAGCAGTCAGCTCCCTTAATCTTTTTCTATATCCTGTGTCCCTTTCTCTCAACGGCAGGACTTTTTCTACCTCATAACTAGTGTTGGCAAACTCTCCTGCCATGGTGACTTGGTGGGCAGGATACTGGAAAGAATGAGGGACGAAGTCTCCGTGGAAAACCAGAAAACAGAGCTGAGGATACAGAACTCTGGGAAACGCAACCAGCCAGTTATCAAGCAGCGGCTTGATTAGCAGTGATGGTGTTTTTTTGGTTGGTTGGTTGGTTGGTTGGTTGGTTATTTAGCCAGAGGTAGAGAGGGCCTGATATGCAGAAATATACCTCAGATTTCCAATCAGATTGTCAGCAAAGGGAGGCTGCCGTATGTAGGATCTTTTTGCCTTTCTATACACAACCCTCCAAATGTTTAAAAGACAGAAGGGGAGAGTCAGGGTGAGGGGAGGGGCGGTTGAGGCTTCGGTTGTGAGATAGTAAATTAGTAGTTCTGGTTCCCCACAACAGTAATTTCTACATTTATATAGTGTGTCAGACAAATGGCTAAGCATATAATTTGTGCTTTCTTTATAGCCAATCTGTCTAATGTTCTCTCAGGTACCATTTCTGAAGAGCTTTCAGGAGTGATTATGTTATTTCTCAGTCTAGATTGATATTTTTGACCCCCAAATCAAATGTGATAACAACTCCCTTCTACACAAGAGCCTTACCATTTATTTATGACTTAAGGACTGAAAACTATGATTGTATGTTTTTAAACAACAATAGAATCATCAGGTCACTGTGCGACCAGTTCAAAAGATCCCATTTTGTAAGTGCTAGGAAATGGCCTATTTCTTAGGCAGCAGATGCTATTTTATGAAATATTAGTTCCAGTGCACTATACAGTAATCAGCAAGGAAGTAATTACGCTTATGTTCAATGATTATGTTTTCATCTAGTAATGTAAAATATCCCTTTATGAATTATATCTGTATCCATTGGTTTTATGTGATTTTCTTCAGACCATGTTCCTTACCTTTTAATTATATTAGCTTATAAAACTAATAGTGCTAATCTCTATAAATATGTGCAGCTACTAAACCATCCCTAAAGTCTGGCAGAGTTTAGTATGTGTTAATGTAAAATAAAATCTTGATGTATGAGTAACAAATTATGGTGTTACATCAGGCTACCATTTTGAGAATATAAAAATTGTCATAAAGGTATACTTAGTTAGCCTAGTATGATTTATAAATGCCTATTATGTGTAGGGACAGATACTCACTAGAATCCTTTAATAAAAATAACTCATAAACAGCATTAGTTTATAAGTAAGCTTAGAGTTTTTACCTAGTTACCTAAAATCTTCTAAAACGTTAAGAACCACTTTAGACTCAACATTAGTATCTAGTTTCCCACATAGGAAAATGTGCTGTTTAATGATTATGACCTATTTTTCCCTGTACATCACTCTGATATTATGAATATAGATAAAAATTATTGTGGTGCTGAGCATTTAACTATCTAAAATAAAGAAATTAATAAATTTAAAATTTTGATTTATATTTTTGCCTTTTAAAGATTTGATTCTATCTAACAAATGACTTTCAGTGTTCAAAAGCAGCAAACAAATCCTATATTTTTTCACAATGTACATGGGCTCAAATATGTTTCTAATGTACTTGTTATTTAAAAAATGAGATGGAGCTTACTTAGCACTGTTTCACAAATGGTAGAATCCCATTAGTCACAGACATTGTGTTTCTCATTAATATTATTCTAGGTGTTAAGAGCTTATATCATTGATTTAGTCTGCTGAATTTTTGAAACTTTTGAGACTTCTGGAGTTTGTGTCATTAAAGGCAAATATTCAGATGTCTCTATTATGAAAATCACTGTCACATTTATATCCTTATCACTCTCTGGTTTTCTGTGATGACTAATTTTAACGGTAATGCTTTTCCCCTAAAACACAGGCAACAAATAAGTCAACAAAAATTACATATTTGCAAACATTTCAACTTGAAATAATCACAACAAACAGAACAGTAACTAAATATTACTTTTCGCCAATGTCTTTTCTATTAAGCAAATTAGTAGAACATATTTGCATTTGCACTTTTGCTTTTTTACCAATAGGTGGCATTGACAATTTTAACTTTTAAAATGTATCTCAGAATATGTTCTAATTGGACAGGAAAATGGTGCAAAGTGTTTTGTGATTTTTTTTTCTTTTTCTTTTTCTTTTTTTGAGACAGGGACTCACTCTGTCACCCAGGCTAGAGTGCAATGGCTCAATTATAGCTCACTGCAGCCTCAAACTCCTGGGCTCAAGCAGTCTTTCTGCCTCAGCCACCCGAGTAGCTAGGACTACAGGCGCATGCTACCATGTCTGGCTATTTTTTTAGTTTTTGTAGAGATGGAATCTGGCTATATTACCCAGGCTGGTCTTCAACTCCTGGGCTCAAGCAGTCCTCCCACCTTGGCCTCCCAAAGTGCTGAGATTACAGGCATGAGCCACCACACCGAGCCCCAAAGTGTTTTATATATTTAGCTTTTTACTTAGTCTGCGAAAAGAGCTGTCATAAATTTGTTCTCTTCCACCAGCTATAAATGAAATTGTATTTCATGGTTGGCTGAAATGAGTCATGTGACTCATCTTTAATTTTCTAAATTAGCTAAAAGGAAGGATTTCTATTTCTCATAAAGGGAGCAGCCTGCTGGGTGGCCATTCCAACAGGTCGGAAAGCCAAGCCCCAGCCAGAAGCCAGGCACACAGGCTTCCAAGAAGGGATTTCTAACCACTCCAACCTCACAGAAGTTGGAATGTAGCATCTTATGACTTGTATTATCATTCAGTTCTTGTAAGGCCCGCAGAGGAGGAGCCCAGGTGTTTAGAAGCCCAAACCACACAAGACTCAACTTCTGTTCGGAGTAAAATTTTGAGAATTGGCAATGAAAAAGCATAGTTCTGATCATTTAAAATGGAAAATATTGCCATAGCCCATTGCCTTTCCTTTACAGTAGAGTGTGAAATGAATCTGTAGGAGAAGCAGCACATTTCCAGGTTTCTTTGGTCAGAGCCTTCCATCCTATCTTTTTAGTGAGACACATTTACTTCCTATTTTCATGAGCATTCCAGGTAACTGGTCACGTTCATCAATACTGATGCTCACTTGGTAGACATTTCCATGTTACTTTTTCATAGTAGTATCTTAACTCTGATACTAAAGAGCATTAATACTTATAGATTTCAAATAAGGCTTGGATTTATGGTATTTGCCAAATTTTATCTAGTATATATTTTTTTAAAATGAAGGGTGTCCAATTTAAGCTTTTAAAATTTTTTTGATAAATTGAATGAATATATGTAGTCTCATATAGTCCCTTTCTTCGTGGCCTAATTTTATTATGGAAGTATAAGTGGTTAGGATTGTATTCACGTATAAAATGCTAAAATGTAGAAAAATTTTTAGCATGCTTATTTTGGAAAGACATATCCATGCTCATGTAAAATGACTTATGCTGTCTTTATTTTTTCATGCAGGACAGCTATATTTTGAAACTACCTAATGTTTACTTGTGGTTTCCTATATTTATTAAGAGTTAGAATATATTTTTACTTAGGAAGTGTTATATGAATAACCTGAACTTAATGTTACTTTGTCTCTTCAGTGTGAAATAAAGGATTTTGCCTAGATGACATCTAAAATTCCTTCTAGTTCTAGCATTTTATCATTTTATGAGGAATCCATTAGGTAATTCTGAATCTGGGTATGACTCACGTCTCCATCAAAATCAAATATATTTTCACATCATTGAGTTTACTCACATAGGCCTTGCTCTGTGCCTGTGTGCATACGGATTGTGTACTGAATGCTTTGATTGTGTACTGAATACTTCTCTACATTTGTAGGGTTGCATGGCACACGTCAAGAAGAAATGATTGATCACAGACTAACAGACAGAGAATGGGCAGAAGAATGGAAACATCTTGACCATGTAAGATATCAGTAATCACTTAAGTTAAAAATGTTTTGAAAACAAATGGGGTGAGGTTATATCATAAAATAAAAGCTTGGTGATGCTTTGAAGGTATTGTGTTTCCTGCTCTCCTTGAAAAAAATAATGAGGGAGAATGTGTAGAATATAGGATTTGATTTCTGAATTGATATGAAAGCCACTTAAGAGAAATGTTTAGATCATGGAAAGGAATTCTCAAAGCCAGATTAGTGGGCTACTGTTTTACTGTGAAAGGGTCATTTAGTTTATCAAGTAATGGGATTAGTATTTGCAGAGGTAGATTTACTGGCTGTAATGCCTTCAGGTGAAATCCTGTCGAGACTCATGTTCATACATCCTACTTTTTCTTCTTATTCCCATTGAACTTTCTCATCTAGTGGGTCTGAATTTCAAATCCAACGATTGAAAATATTAGACCGAAGCCTTCAAAGGATAAAATTGCGTCCTTTCTATTGTCCTGAAATAGTTTCACTCCCCACCCAAGACTTTAATTTGTGGTGATTTGTATGTTTTTCTCTTTTGCCCTGTTTCTCACATAGCTGTTAAACTGCATAATGGACATGGTAGAAAAAACAAGGCGATCTCTCACCGTACTAAGGCGATGTCAGGAAGCAGACCGGGAGGAACTGAATTACTGGATCCGGCGGTACAGTGATGCCGAGGACTTAAAAAAGGGCGGGAGCAGTAGCAGCAGCCACTCCAGGCAGCAGAGTCCCGTCAACCCAGACCCAGTTGCATTAGGTACCTTTTTCCAGATGAGCATCTTGAACAGATGCTTCTTATGCTATTAATGCCGTCTTTATTTTTAACTTGTCTTTTTAAAAATAAAGGACATGCAGGGGATTTTAGGACAATAACCACTTTAAAAATCTTTCCTGATCTATCAGGAAAGTGGGCAGATTGGCGTACAAAGAGATGGTCACAAAACTTAAACTGCTTTTCCAGGTGTATGTATTGAGCTCATGGCAGAGTTTCAAAGCTGAACCAGAAATTCATGTGCGTAACTAAAATGTGCACTGCTTCATAATACAGCTGCTCGGACTCTGCCTCACACTGGCAAAAACACAATCTCAGAGAGTGGGCCTGGGGCTTGGGCAGTTCTAAGGAGATCTCTAGGAGATTCTTCCACTGCACACCAATGTTAGCACCGCACACAAGGATACATATTTTATAATTATTAATTTAGGAAGCAGTCTCTAAGACAGTCTTATTTTGTAGAAGTATCTGATATTTGCAAAAAAAACACTTTTCCTGAAAAACCCCTCCAAGAAGAGAAACCTGAAAGCTGTATAATTTGGCTACTGCTACTTAAAAATTAATGGTAAACATGTAGCTGTCTTCCTGTGATTTGATCTTAGATTGCTTAATCATGATTTTATTAATTCTAGTCATATAATAGGACTATTAATATAGCTGTGCTTTAGAAATTGAATGCTAATTTGTAACTATATTGAGTATTGATATTTGGGAAGTTGTTAGGGTTATAAATAGCATTTACTCCCAAATATGTTGAAAGAAATCTTCAACATGAAAGAATTTTTGTGTGGCCTGTGAATTCGTACCTAAATTAGTAATACGATGTCTACTGTTCGAGTAAACTCAGTGGAGATGGATCTGTGTTAATCTCATTTCTCCCATATTCTCGTATGGGTTTAGCATCATACTTGTCTGCTAACTCAGAGTACAAGCCATGCTATAAAACAAAACAAATTAATTACACATGTACAGATTAAGCTTATGACTTTGGCTTCATTAGCACCATGGCTGGTTATCAAAAAATTTTAAAACTTGAAACATATTATCTGACTATTGATCACATTATCTTTTTTATTAAAATTATTCATGGCCAATGCAGTTTCCTTTGCAGTTAGGTTTGTAGATTCCTGCTAATCCCTGAATGCTGAATGCCTATTATCATAATAAGTATTAAATAAAGGAAGATTCCAAGGCACTTAATTTACCCAGCAGGCATTATTCTAAAGCATATTTAAAAGACAAAAGTGTGTTTGTCAGGTTGTATTAAGACAAGCAATGAAAACAGAATTAAGTTTGATTTGAACTGATACTGGTCTAAACAAAACTATTTAGAGCAGAGTAGAATAAACATCTTGCTTTTATTTCCTTATTGTGAACAAAAATTGGTTAAGCACGAGAGATTTGCTTAGGACAAACAAAAGGGATATTTGTAACCATTCAGTGTAGGCAAAAAGCGAGAGCCTTAAAGTAAATAAAACTTGGGAGTAAAAATAGCCAGTTTGGCCTGCTCTATTGAACATGTTCTTTGAGCCAGTACTTATTTATTAAGTGCCTGCTCTGTGCCAGGCATCGTGCTAGGCACTATAATGAAGGAAAAACATTCTTGATTCCTTCTGTTGAGGACCTTCGTGTCTATAGGGAGAGATCGGCAAGGGAAAGGCTGGTGTTATGGGCACAGGGTAGCCACCTCCATTCGGTCCCCTAAACTGGTAGAACTGCTATTATCTGCCATCCCCTGTGAAAGAAACATTTCAGAAATTTATCAGACTTCATACCTAAGTTATCAGCATACCGAACATGGGCCACTTAGTATATAATCACCTCTACTGTGCACAGATTCTAGTGATGCCAGTGTATTCTTTGTTCTCCAGGAAGACAGGTTCAGTTTCCTTGTTACATAACCAAAAGAATCAACTTGGTTTTTGAAAGCTCCTCCTTAGAACACACAAATTATAGTACTTTTAGTGATGTTCCATGAATTTATATTTTTGGTAAACCTGAAATGTTCCTTTGGCTTTAAGCTTTTGCAGGTTGTATATATTATTCAAAGGCTACAAATATTTCTTTCTTTAGATTCTGTTAAAACATTGCATTATTTATAACATAGAGCCCTAGATTGCCTATGAAGAAACTGTCACAACTTTAGAGAGAACCTGTTGAGAGCTCCGCAATACGCCAGTTTTAGCGTTGAAAATTCCTTTTCACTGTGCGTTCTTGCTAATTGATTCTCGTAGCCTTTGTGTTCCATTTTCTGGGGCTGAGCTTTGGTTGTAAATGAGAAGACAGGTGGTTTGTAATCATGGACCACAATCCATGAACCACATTAAGTGCTACGTCTCTTTCCAGCTTTGGAGTTGAGTGGATAGATGTGTGTAATGAAAGGATTGAAGGTTATTGGTCGATATATGTATTTTCTGCTCTTGGAAAGTGTTTAATGGAGTGCATGTGTACAGATAAAGCTATGAATATGTTTATATATTTATATACATGTAGATCTCCATATCCTATGGTATTCTCTAGGTATTTCTTTCAGCCTAATTCTCTTAATTCTTAAGCTACTGTCTAGTATTAAATGAGACCTTCAGAATATATTATAGAAGATATCTTTGGTTCAAAATATTGCTCTACTTACATTCCTAACTTGGAGACACTGGAAAAATTGAGTCATACACACATTCTTAGCATTTTCAAATTATACTTGGGGACTACACAGAGGAGACTGTATCTTTCATGACTGATATGTTGTATTTGTTATACTCAATCCCATTCTCACTTTTGGAATATATTCATACTATTAATTCAGTGTGGGGGATTAGCAAAATAACATGATTAATCTATTACTAATTGAATTTTAGAAGTTTTCCACAGATATTAAGGACTATTTTGAATAGCCTGTGAAACAATTTTAAGCACTGAATATATACTGAAACCATAATGTTATTTCTATTCTTTAAATAAAGTGTAGGTTTATATCTTGGGCTTTTTATAAAATAGATTTTTTCTTGAAATAATAGATACTTATTGTATTTATTATTCTTACTCATTTGCTTTGCATGGAGAATTCTAAATATCCAATTCCTAACAAACTTAGAAAGCTGATTTTTCAACTATTGTCTCTATTTTCAAAGTATGACTTATTTATACATTTTAGGTTTGTTACATTGTGTACCTCACCAAAGAGCAAGTTGATGTGATCAGAATTAATAGATTTGGTCACTGAAGTAGAATTACTTTTATACATTTAGATAGGTAGTTGCTCATTAGCATTTTATATGTTCTTTTAAGTGTCTGAGTCTCTGTCATTCTTTTTTCTCTCAGTAAGCTGTTCATATCACTCTCTTGGTTCTTGACATCTTATTTTATTTTTTAACCCATTGCACTCGGATGTCCAGTGTGACTCGACCTGGTTGGCATCGGTAGTAGCTCGTATGTCGAGCTACACTCGACACGGAGTTTCACCGTAGGGAGAAGGAGGTTTTTGTCTATTTTTCCAGTATCTTTTCTTGTTTTCATTAGCATGAAAGGACAAGTAAAATGTAAATGCAGAGATGGTACACTAACTTCCAGGGGCAGATTATTATCCACTAACTTAGAGCAACGTTCAGATGGGAAGCTTCTTATAATCACACCTCACCCTAACAAAAAACACAAAGATTGTGGTGTTTGTTCTAACAGAAAAATCAAAGGAGGAAGAAGAGAGATGATTTATATTTGTGAAATGTGTGAATGTAAACTAGGTCTTCATGTGGGGTGAATGTTTCAAAAAATATCACACCATGAAAAATTATAGAGATTAAAATTACTCTTTGAATGTGTCAATAATTTGAAATATAAAAAAAGCCAAATAAATAAGTTTGTATGAAAAGAAACTCCAGTTTTTTATTCTACTGCTGTGCTTTGTAAAATCTGGGGCATTTAAAAAATTAAATCCCCAGTAGAATAAAGGAATCGAGAAAAAAGCAAGTGAGTGCAAAGGGTTAAGTTGCTTTCTTTTTATTGGCTTTGACTATTCTAAAATTTTTCTGCAGTTCATCTTGTACTATATGCCCTCTCTTTGTTTTCAAGGCTCTTCCACATCATTCAAGAGGGTTAAAAAATTAGCTAATGGTGGGTTTAAGGCTAATGTCAGAGACATGAAATTCTGTAATATAAATGCATTTTTCTCTTTGTGTGTGTGTATGTGTGTGTTTTAATGTATGAATCCTGTGTTGGCAGGGTAGTCCATTTAGGAAATACCTTCCATGTATGTTTTGGTAAGGGCATAGCACTTGCGAGAGAGAAATGTCAGAAATTTGTTTGTTTTAAGTGGAATGAAATATCAAACTTCAGGTTCATAGAAAGCTTAGTAATTCAGGAGTTTCTTGAATTAATACCACCTCTTGTTCCAAGTCGACAGGGGGAGGAATTAACATTTAATTTGTTTGTTTATTTATTTAGGTTTGTTTGTTTGTTTTAAAGATACAGGGTACTTGCTGGTTGCCCAGGCTAGTCTCAAACTCCTGGTCATAAGCGATCCTGTCGCCTCAGCTTCCCATGTAGCTGGGATTATAGGCATGCGTCATTGTACTCAGCTTGGAATTAGTGTTTTTAAATTCATCTAGCTGGTGAGTTTTATGATTCTCATATGATTAAATTACAGAATTTCTCATTGCTGTCTAACTCCTCAGGAAATCTAGTGTGAAGGCTTAAAGCACAGACTCTGAGAAGATTGTCTGGATTTGAATTACTTATTCTTCCCTGTGCTAGTTTGTGACCTTTAGCAAGTCACAATCTCTTTGTGCCTCACTTTTCTCATCCATAAAATGGGGATGGTAATAATACATATTTTATAGGTGTTTCTCTGTTGAATGACTTAATAGGTATAAAGCATACAGGATAGTACCTAACACATAATAATAGGTGTGATGTATTAGCTATCTGCAGCCTCAAAAAGAACTTTAAAGAATAGTGGTAAGTGAAATTAGTGGAATTTTTTGCTTGGCATC